AATCTGTCCATTTCTTCTGCATTTTCCATCTTATTAGAATCCAAGTGCTCAAAGTAGGTGTCTCGGTTACTCTTCTCTCGTTGCTGGGACAAACACCTGACACTCAAAATGAAGGAAGGAAAGGTTTATCTAGCTCAGCGTTACTGGAGGTTTCAGTCCATACTCAGCTGGCCCCAAGGCAGAGGGACACATGGCAGAAAGCGGACTTTCACAGTGGCACCAAAGAACAGAGAACAAAGGGAGGGGCAGGAGCTCAGACAGCTAGCTACCCTCTTTTCCCTCCTTACATTGTAATGCAAATTACCTGCCCCAGGGCAAGTGTAGCACCCACACCCACAGTATCAATCACAAACTCCGGAAGCCTCCTACAACTGCATGAGGCTTTGGGGGGACAACTAGACACAAAACATAACAGGAGGCATTAATGATCTGGATTTTTACAGGGTCCACTGTAATTTTAGTCCCTTTTTTTTTTTTGGCGGGCTCTGGCTGCCTTAACGGCAGGTATAGTGTGGCTTGTGGAGCTGGAGATCAACCGATGAAAGCCTATGTTTGCCCAGGCAGGTGCTTAAACAACTGAATTAACTGGCAAGCCCCAACTGTTTTCATTCTTAATTGCATAGATTGGAGTCTTTTCTTACCTTTTCTTGGATAAGGTTGTTTAAGGGTTTGTCAATTTTATTTAATCTTTCAAAGAAACAAATTCTCATTTTATTGATTCTGTGTATGATTTTATTAGTCCCCAATGCACTGATATCTGCTCTTATCTTTATAATTTCCTCCCTAGTACAAGCTGTAGGCTTGGCCTGTTCTTTTCCTAGAAGTTTAAGACTTAACATTAAGTTGTTTAGAGGGCCGGGGATATGGGTCAGTAGAATAAGTGCTTGCCTGGCAAGCACAAGGGCCTGAGTTCAACCCCTGGTTCTGAGAAAAAAAAAAAAAAAACATTAAGTTGTTTACTTGTACTTTCTGTCTTCCTGATATGGGTATTCACTGTTATAAATTTCCTTCTTAGGGGCTGGTGAGATGGCTCAGTGGTCTAAAGCACCTACTTAGAACAAGCTAAGCTAAGCAAAGCACGGGGACCGCGGTTCAATCCTCCAGCACCAC